AGCAGCAGGAGTGGTAGCAGTAGTAGCGCCACCACCCCTACAGCCCCAACCAGCGTACCACTCACGCAGTTGCTGGGGCGTGAGGGACTCACGCAGACGTCGATGGGGCTGCATCTGGCTCCACCAGTAGAGGCAGGAGCAGGAGTAGCAGCAGTAAGGCAGGCAGCCAGGCAAGCCAAAAGGGAGGCAGGCAGGCAAGCAGGCGACGCGCAGCGTGCTAGCAGGGCAGGGGCTCACCAGTGGTGGGTAGAGTAGGCTCGGCGACTCAGCGGCTCGGCAGCACGGCGGCTCTGCGGCTCGGGCGACTCGGGCGGCTCCGCGGCAGAGCGGCTCGGCAGCAACTGCAGCTCGGCAGCTCGGCGACCCGGCGGCGCGGCTGTAGGGCGGCTCGGCTGCTGGGAGGCTCGGGTGTAGAGCGGCTCGGCTGCAGGGCGGCTCGGCTGCTGGGAGGCTCGGGTGTAGAGCAGCTCGGCGGCGAGGCGGCTCGGCTGCAGGGCGGCTCGAGACGAAGGAGGAGGAGAAGCAGGGGAGACCACACACCTGCCACCCCTCAGCTGGCCTCTCCCGTCGCCTGTCGAGGCGACCTGAGGGGGCCGCTTGCGACAGGTCGCCTCGACAGGCGACGGGAAAAGGGGGGGGGGGGGGGGGGGGGGGGGGGAGGCGGCTCGGGCGGCTCGGGCGGCTCAGGCGGCTCGGGCAGCTCGGGCAGTCAGCGGCACAGGCGGCTCGGGCGGCTCGGCTCCTCAGCTGCGCAGACGGCTCGGGCGGCTCAGGCTGCACGGCGGCTAACGGGCGGCGTGGGGGGCCGGGACGGCGGCGTGCAGCAGGGACGGGCGGGGCACGGGCGGTGTGAGGCCGGGACGGGTGAGGGGCCAGGACGGGCGGCGTCCTGGCGCCGAGGGGCCGAGACAGGAGAGCGCGGCCGGGGCGGGCGGCACAGGGCGGCTTGGGGCCGTGTCGGGCGGCGCGCGGGCGGTGAGGGGCCGGGACGGGCGCGCGCGGGCGGCTAGGGGCCGGGACGGGCGCGCGCGGGTGGCTAGGGGCCGGGACGGGCGCGCGCGGGTGGCTAGGGGCCGGGACGGGCGGCGCGCGGGCGGCTAGGGGCCTGAACGGGCGGCGCGCGAGCGGCTAGGGGCCGGGACGGGCGGCGCGCGGGCGGCTAGGGGCCTGAACGGGCGGCGCGCGAGCGGCTAGGGGCCGGGACGGGCGGCGCACGGGCGGCTAAGGGCCGGGACGGGCGGCGCGCGGGCGGCTAGGGGCCTGAACGGGCGCGCGCGGGCGGCTAGGGGGCCGCAGGGCAGGCCGAAAGAGTGAGAGCGAGGGCCCGGAGCGCGCTCCGGGCAGAAAGAAAAGTTTAAAAGTGGTGGGCCCTAAGCACAGTTCCCACGGGGGAACCTGCTCGATACCATGCGGAAAATAGAACGAGAATGAATGAACTATGAGTGAAGTGAGTACAAATAGCAAAACCCTAATTGGGTTGTACCCCCTATGGGATACCCCACTGTAGCCTACACAACAGCATAAGCTACATATATGTTCTGACAGAGGGGGCCGACGGGGCCGCTAAGGGGTGGGCGTGCGCAGGGCATACGGGGCCGACGGGGCCTCTAAGCGGGTCGCGCGTGGGGTCGACGGGGCCAGCGGGGCCTCTAAGGGGCGGCGCGCGGGGCCGACGGGGCCTCTAAGGGGCGGCGAGCGGGTCGCTAAGGGGCGGGTCGCGGGTCGCGGGGCCTTAAGGGGCCGTTAAGGAGGGGGCGCACGAGGGCGCTAGTAGGTAGCGAGGAAACGGAACGGTGGGCCCTTAGAACGTTTGGTCCTAGGTTCCTAACCTAGGCTCGTAATACCATGTTAGAATGAGAGAAGTGTGTGAACTAGAAAGGAATGGGAGTACAAGTACCTAACCCTAGAATGATGTACCCCCTAAAGGCTAACCCACTGTAGCCTACACAAATACAACACATGTATTGTTTGACACCAGTTACCCAGCTTCTCCCTGTTCTGCGATAACCAGTCAGCAATTCGCATAGCCAACAAAAATGGATTCGCGAACAGGACGAAGCACATCACCCTGCGATATTTCTTCGTGAAGGACGAAATCGAGAAGGGGAGACTCGAGCTGTCTTACCGTCCCACGTCCGAGATGGCAGCTGATTACTTGACCAAGAAGCTCGGGAAGCAGAAGTTCGAGTGTTGCATGCTGCTGACTGGACAAAGCCACGTCACCAACAGCGACACTCCAGAAGCGTAGGGGAGTGTTGGAAACAATTGATTTAGCGCCTCTGTCGTGTCGAAACACCAAGTCAGAAGCGAAGCGAAACATATCAAAGCATTAGCGAGTCAACCCTTGGAGGTTGAACAACTGCTGGAGGTTACGCGAAAGTCAAAGGACAGCGACCTTTGACCTGGCAAGTACAGCGTGACAGCAAGGACAAACAACTGACTCGCTATTGAGTAGTTGCCCGAGTCGTCACTGTATCGAACCGCAACAACAATAGTAAAACGGTTATTAACTGTATCTCTTCGTATTCCTTGTACTCTTATAAAAACTTGTATCTCTTTGTTTTAATCAATCTACTTTGCCCTCACGTACCAGCGCAAGGTGGTTCACAAACTTCTCATTGAAACGCTTCCGCTATTACATTGTCCTACTCAGAATTTAGTCCTGCAAAGATCCGAAGGGCTTTTTCTCAGCCCAACAGAGTAGGAGTAGTACCGGGAGAGCCGTTAGAGGAGCTTCTCTCCTTCTGCGTTGCCATGCCTTCTGATGTTGTAGGTGTCTTGGAAGTAATTGAGTTTGCCCTGATAGCTCTGATACCATGTTGGGCTGAGAAAGGCCCTTAGGATCTTTGCAGGACTAAACTCTGGGTAGGAACAATATAATAGCGGAAGCGTGTAGTGATAAGTCATTGAACCACCTTGCGCTGGTATGTGAGGGCAAAGTAGATTGATTAAAACAAGGAGACTCAAGGTTTTTATAAGAATACAAGGAATATGAAGAGATACCGTCACCCCCCCGGATATAAGCGCCACCCTGGGATAAGCGCCTGGCGCTTGTAATTGGCGTATGGCGCTTATATCCCCTCCTCAATCATAAGCGCATACCCAAATGGCTTACGGATTATAAGAGCCACCATTTGTATTAGTTTTTATAAAGTTACTGGAATCTCTGTAGGGAAACACACTATTTGCATCATGACATTTTGAAATTTCGACCCTTCACCCTCGCGTGACTTACTGGCTCACCCTCACGCGACTCACTGATTGCGCGACCAGTCAGAATGAGTTGTCATGGGGCAAAATGACTCGTTATGACTGTGTGTATTGGCAGCTTGCAAACTTACGCGAGATTCTTGTTCACAACCCTCTATGATCTTGACTCGATTGAAATTGCAATGACAAGATGAACACTTTGGAGTGAAAACAACTAGATTTCATATATGTCATAATATAACCCGGCGCTTATAAAAATCCTCGATTACCTATAAGCCCACCCCCCTACAAAAACATGTTTTGTTTTACCCCCCCCATGGGGGCTTATCCCGGGGGTGACGGTACAGCTAATAGCTGTTTTACTGTTGCTGTTGCGGTTCGATATAGTGACGACTCCCTGGGATAAGCGCCTGGCGCTTGTAATTGGCGTATGGCGTTTATATCCCCTCCTCGATTATAAGCGCATACCCAAATGGCTTACAGATTATAAGAGCCACCATTTGTACCGGTATTAGTTGTTATAAAGTTACTGGAATCTCTGTAGGGAAAAAAACTGTTTGCATCATGACATTTTGAAATTTCGACCCTTCACCCTCGCGCGACTTACTGCCTCACCCTCGCGCGACTCACTGACTGCACGTCCAGTCAGAATGAGCAGTCATGGGGCGAAATTACTCATTATGACTGTGTGTGTTGGCACGCAAGATTCTTGTTGACAACCCTCTATGACCTTGACTCGATTGAAATCGCAATGACAAGATGAACAGTTTGGAGTGAAAACAACTAGATTTCATATATGTCATAATATAAGCCCCGACGCTTAAAAAATCCTCGATTACCTATATCTCAGAAATCCCAACCACTAGACCATTTGGATAAAAGGGCTTGTTTCAGTAGCGGGACAGTGCGCCCATAACCCCCCAGGCAACCGTGCCTGTAACCCTTCCCTAGGATCAATCGGGGATCACCAGTGGACCTTTGACACTATAAGCCCACCCTCCTACAAAAACATGTTTTGTTATATCCCCCCATGCGGGCTTATCCGGGGGGTGACGGTACAGCTAATAACTGTTTTACTGTTGTTGTTGCGGTTCGATATAGTGACGACTCGGGCAACTGCTCTGTATCGAGTCAGTTGTTTGTCCTTGCTGCCGCGCTGTATTTGTCAAGTTAAAGGTCGCTGACCTTTGACCTTCGCGTAATCTCCAGCAGTTGCTTGAGTTGTCAACCTCCGATGGTTGACTCGCTGATGTTTCGTTTGTGCTTCGCTTCGTTTAAGACTTGATGTTTCAACACAGCAGAAGCGCTTAAATCACTTGTTTCCAACATTCTATTGCCCGTTGCTCATTAAATAAAATATGATAGTACCGTATATGATGGTTTTTCTCAACCACTGTGATGTGTCGACGTGACAGGGCACAGTGCCCGCCGTCCACAGAAGCAACAGCGGCAGAACCACGAGCAAGTGCACACTGTAATTAATATAGCGGCCAACTTCCGTCATGTCGTGTTCTAACTGTATATGAGATGGCCTTAGCATTACAGTAGCTGCCATCTATAGCACGGGCAGGATGCACCTGCTGCAATGCTAATAGGGTACTTTAGCTTCTAGAAATATGCATTCGATATTTGATATGTACACATCATGTCCGGAATTCCATGAGAGGGAACATCACAAATGCACGGAATGCCACTTACTAAGCTGCTGGCATTTGTGGAGCATCTGTGATGTTCCTTCTCGGATCACAACACGATCACCTCGTGCATCCATCTCCTATTCCCCTTTTCCGTCAGAACCTGCCACCAATGAGTTTTCCCGACAAGCTGCTGCTGGTGCCCGCGAAGCCAATGTAGAGCTGCCCATTGATGCCCGCCTGGATGGCGCTGAGCACGGGCGCCAGGTCCGCCGGCGCGACAGTGAGCACATTGGCCAGCGACCACGACACGGAGCTCAGCAGCTGCCACGTGCCGGGCAGCTGCAGCGCCACGGGTGGGGCTGCCTGGCCGCACGTGCTGTTACCGATGTAGATGGCCGCCGCCTGCGGTGCCTCCGCCATGCCTGTCGCCACCAGCTGGTATGCCACTGCGTACGCCGAGCCCCTGCAGTGAGGAGAGGGGGGGAGGGGGGCGGGGGTTGGGATATTCATTTTCAGTACTTAGCTGGAGGGTACTAGGCGGAACAATTGTGAGAGTCAGAGCTGATGGCAGTGGCAGTAATATTGTGGAATGAATCATGTGGCGATGACGTCAGGCAGGAATGAGGAGACTGAGGAGCCGTGGCTTACATTTTGGTGATCTGGATGTTGGCTGCTCCCACCGGGAGAAGGCCCTCGCACGAGGTGAGCACGCCACGCAGCATGCCTGCAGTGATGGGAATCATCAAGAGAAGCAGTAGAGATTTAGCCCAAGAACAGCAGCAGATGATGCAACAAAGAGCAGCAGCAAATGGTGCAACAAAGAGCAGCAGCAGATGGCGCAACAAAGAGCAGCAGCAGATGGTGCAAGAATGAGCACAAGCATAGTCGGGGCACATCAACAGTGGGGTTTGCGGGGTTAGGGTTTGCGGGGTTGGGATGTGCGGGGGTAGGGTTTTCGAGATCAGGGTTTTCGGAATCAGTGTTTGCGGGGTTAGGGTTTGCGGGGCTGACCTGCTGGGTGCGGCAGCAGAGCCACGAGGTCCGCCACGCCAAGGGCGTCACTCAGCGGGGCGATCAGCGCGTCCACCTGCGCAGCGAGCGCCGACACGTCCAGATTCAGTGCACCCACCCACTCAGTGAGCGCCGCCACTCGCTGACTCAGCAATGCGCGGAGGTTGGGGAGGATGCTAGCCAGGTCTGTGGTGAGCGATGTAGCGCGCTTGTTGAGAGCGAGGATGCTGCCTTTTAGCGACGAGATGCGCGACTGGAGTGCGACAGGAGTCGTCTGGGGAGCAACGCCGCCGGGTCGCGTGATTCTAAGGTATAGAATAAGGTCGAGGTTCGCAATGCGTGCGTTGAGAGAGTCTATGCTGCTCTGGAGGGCGGATATCTGCGCTTGAAGTGCCAATGTCGCCGCGGATGCGTTGTCGTTCAACGCGGTTGCAAGCTTGTTGAGCGATTGCGTCAGCGCCCCTTCCAATGAACTGACTTGCGCTTGCAGCGCGGTTTTTAGGTCGGACACGGTACTAGTGATGGTGCTGGTGACTTGAGCTGGTCGGTTCGGGATGCGGTTCCCGAGCAGTCCGTTGGAGACGAGTCTAGACTGTGCGCTTGATGCGAATAGCGCGGTTACAAGCAGCACCGCCACAAGTGAGGAAGCTAGAGGAGAACGCGCCATGAGACGATAGTAGTAGTAGGAAACGGGTGCAGTCAAGAGGGATCGCTGCTGGAACTAGGAGGTACGAATATTGCGCGGGTGGCTAAGGGAGGCAGTGGTGAGAGATTAAAAGCGGTTTCGAAGTGCGAGGAAGCTTTGTGACGACAAGTCGAGTAGGCTATGGTTGTGATAAAATCTGCAGCTTGCCTTTGGACTAATATGTGCTCACAGATTGGGCGCTTGAACTGGTGCGGCTGTGACGGTGAGCGCGTAGATTTGGGAGGGAGTGTGGGAGGCGGTGATTGACGGTAGGGTTGCGGCGATCAAATGGGTGCGCGCTGGTGACGATGAGTGAGGTGCGGCGAAGCAGCGATTGGATGGCAGGCGACTCACCGAAAACTGGGTTCGCTTCACGCGGAAATGTTCTGTGCGAAATTCGCGAATAGGTTTACTCCGCTAGCTCGCGCCGCACGTTTAACTTGATATAAGCATAACCTCGTTTCAAACAATTGATATGGTTTCACAAGTGTGCTCCTTGTGTGCTGCATGATCCTCTACAGTCCAGTCTCTGACTATGGTGCTGCATTGGAAATATTGTATGAATTTTTGTACTAGTAATGAGAAATGATGAGAATGTACAAAACTATAGTCTAGTGTAGTACCTATCCGATGATGTAGACTATTCACGAACAGTGCTATTTATCGAGTCGACTCTAAAGCGGTATTTTCCTGTGTCATACGAACAGTGACAAGACTGTTCGCGCTACTGCCTGTTACTAAATTGCATTCATTATTTATTTATCTAAGTCATTTGTTTACTCGAGCACTCCCTTTCAATTTTGGAGTAAGATCTTGTCGGTGTCATCCAGGGTTCTCGCTAGGTTTAGGGCCTGTCTGACAGTACCCTCAAAAACATTTTCCCCGTCTTAGGCTTTGACGACGAAATTTTTGTGGTCTGCAGTATAAGCTGAAATATTTTTCCTAGTCTGATAAACTAGACGAAAAAAAAAACCAAGTCAGCCTACAGCGAGGCTGCACAAGGCCAGTTACAGAGCTGTATAAGACACGCGTAATGAATGCGCGTGCAGTTACAAGGCAGCAATCGGCTGTACCTGTGGTGGTCCTGTCCTCTGGTCAACTGGGCCTATGGCCTAGTGGGTCAAGTTGTCGGTTTCAGACGAAACCGAACTCGCTATCTGTATCCTCAGATAAAAAATTCTACACGTCTGAAAAAATCATACGAACTTAAAAGTCAAATCTTGCTGATCAGATGAGAACAAACACAAAATCTTAGGATTAAGATGAATACAAAAAAACCAGTCTTAAACGCAGACCATCAGACCAAATTGGTCTGATAACGAGAACCCTGGTGTCATCGCTGATATGGCCGAGTCGAGCCAGAAGCAGGGCCCTAGATTGGTTGTAAGGTACGCTGAGCGATCAGCGTGCACCACTCTTGGACCACTGTCTGTCATCGTTGCCTCAAATCTTTCGACTGAAAATTCAAACAACACAAAATTTTAAGGCTGAACTATGAGTGTTACATCCAAAAATTAAGTTGATATTAAATTTTGATAAAAGCATTATTATCGAACATCTTATGAAATTTAGAAGAAAGAAGAGGATTGCACTAGCAAGAATGGGGATACAAATAGCAAACCCTACAAGGGTTGTACTCGCTATAGAGCACCCCACTACAGGCTAGAGCATTAGATAACATTCTGACACACCCCCATAGCCAAAGTGGGGAGTAATCAGTGTGAAATAAGTAAGCAGGAATGAAATGACTAAGTCAGGGTTGGGTACAAATACAACCCTAGAAAAGCTGTACCCCATATGTGCTACCCCACTATAGCCTACAAACATGCATCAGCTATAATACTCTGACACATCCCCATAGGCAAAGTGGGGGAGAACAAGGGGTCACAAGACCAGTCAAGCAAAGCAAAGCAAAGCAAGCTCAGGGTGGATCACAACGTCACCACACAGTCCGAGCACAAGAGTAGGGCCAGAGGCCAATTCACATGCAGGAGTGCAGACATATATATAAAACTAGACAAGCAAGAGCAGGTATATATATATGTCACAGTACAAGTGAAGTCAAGAGGAGAGCAAGTGAGGCAAGACAGGCACAAGACCCAGCTGGGTGCAAAAGCGCTGATGGTCACAAGGCGCGAGTGCCTTGGTGAACACATCAGCAGTGTTGGCCTCAGAGGCCACGTACGCAAGTCGCAACTGACCACGCTGCTGCAGCTCACGAGCAAGGAAGTAGCGGAGAGCAATGTGCTTCGTTCTGTGCTCCAAGCGCTGCTCTCGACACAAGGCCAGCATGGCCTTGTTGTCTACGTACAGCACTGGAGGAGAACGAGGCGGCTCTCCAAGGTCAGTCAGCAGGTAGGTGAGCCAGCGAAGCTCCTGTGCAGCCATGGCCCCGGCGTAGATCTCAGCCTCACAACTGGAGCCGAGAACCGAAGACGAGCGAGTAGACCGCCACGAGACAGAGCCGGAACCAAGGCTGAAGGTGTAACCCTGTGACGACCGCTGCGTAGCCTGGTCGTCAGCCCAAGAAGCGTCCGCGTGGCCGGTAAGGACCACTGGACTCCGCCCTCCAAGCACTAGCCCCATGCCCGACGTGCTGCACAGGTAGCGCAATACCCTCTTCGCTGCAGCCATGTGCTCTGGTCTGTGTCTCCCAGGAGCAACATAGCGAGCAAGAATGCTCAGAGGGTATGCAAGGTCAGGTCGTGTGCAGGTCATCAGGTACATGAGGCAGCCAACAAGCTCTGCATACGGGCCACTCGACTCTACGGACTCATCCGAAGGCAGAGCTGAGAGTGAGTGGCGAGTAGGCAGAGGAGTGGCCTGAGGCGAGGAGTACGTGAAGCCGAAGCGCTGAAGGACCTGCTGCACCATGTGTGACTGAGTCAAGGTAATGGTGCGGCGTGCTCTGTCCCGAGTGATCTGCAAGCCAAGGTAGCTGCGCAGTTCACCCAGGTCTGTGCACGTGTGTCTCTTCAGCAGCTCGGACTTCACGTAGGCGAGTCCAGCAGTGTCCGCTGTGGCAAAGACCAAGTCGTCGACGTACACGAGGATGTAGAACGGCGGCAGGGAAGTGTCGGTGCGAAGAAACAGCGACGGGTCAGCAGTAGAAGGAGCAAACCCAAGAGCCGCAAGCGTAGTCCTCAGTGTGTCGTGCCACTCACGCGGTGCCTGGCGGAGACCGTAGACTAGCCGTCGGAGGCTCCACTGGGTGCCAGGAGGGAAAGTCCCAGTGAAGCCAGGTGGACGGCGAAGCCAGATCTCCTCGTGCAGGCTACCCTGCAAGAACGCAGTGCTGAAGTCGAGAGAGTGAAGCTCGTAGTCGCGCTGAGCGGCTATGTGCAGCAGCACCCGAAGAGTAGTCATCTTTGGGGTGGGAGAGAAGGTCTGAAAGTAGTCAACTCCCTGCCGCTGACTGAAGCCACGAGCAACGTACCGTGCCTTGAAGACAGGTGGAGAGCCCGGCGGCCGCTTCACCCTGAAGATCCACATGCCACTGACGATGTTCGCCCCAGGAGGGGGAACCGCGTCAACGTAGGTGCCTGTGGACTTCCAGGAAGCCATCTCTGCATCCATAGCTGCCTGCCACTGAGAGGAGTAGGGACCCTCTACGGCCTCCGCGTAAGAACGCGGAGTCGGGATGTCTAGTGCATCCGGGTCTCCCTCAGGGGCAAGCAGTACAGACGCGAGATGAGGTGAAGCAGCTGCTAGACACTGTAACTCCTCCTGCCTGTCCTCTAGGACGTCCGTGCTAAGAGCACACTCACCCCCGACAAACGGAGGACAGACAGACGCAGACTCAGCAACAAGACTAGCAGCGTAGTCGAGACGACAGCGAGCAGCAAAGTCGACGAGCTCAGCGACTAGAGCAGACGCAGCAGTGGACTCAAAAGAGGGGTCAGTGACGACAGTAGCAAGCAGACGCGTGACAGTAGGACTGGCAGCACGAAGAGAGTCCGACTCAGGGTCGGCAAGCGCAGGAAGAGAGGACTCAGGAGGAGAAGGCAAAGGGGCACGCAGAGGAGCAGTGGACGGACGCAAAGACATCCGGTGCGTGCCAGGGACAGGAGGAGGACGCTGACGCGAACTGCGACCACTAGCGCGAGCAGCACGAACAGGCGACGCGGGACGAGACGCAGGCTCACGACGCTCAGCAAGACCTCCAGTAGGACCAGTGTAAGGAGAGGGAGCAGGCAGTGGAGAGGAAGGCTCCAGCAGGGACTGCGACTGGACAGGCGGTGGACCCTCTACCGGAGGAGAAAGACCAAGAACCTGCTGCAAGAGCGGAACGAAGTACGGCCGAGGCCGCGCGGCAGCTCCAGACGCAGCAGGGTCTGCACCAGCACCCTCAGCGACAGCACCAGCGCCACCCACACCTCCAGCGGCAGGACCAACAGCAGTAGGCTCAGCACCAGCGCCCTCAGCAGCTCCAGCTCCAGGAGGACCCGCAGGTCCAGCAGCTCCGGGACCGGCAGCACCCGCACCCACGACGGTCGAAGAAGCTCCAGCTCCAGCTCCAGCAGCACCTCCAGACTCAGCAGCACGCCTCCAGCGGCGAGCGAACCACTCGCGCAGCTCCTGTGGAGAGAGGGGCTCCCGGCGAGACGCAGCAGCAGGAGAAACCCCAAGCTCAGCAGCTCCAGACGCAGCACCCCCAGGCTCAGCAGCTCCCAGCTCAGCACCTCCAGGCTCAGTAGCTCCCGACCCAGCACCCCCAGACCCCGCACCCCCAGGCACAGCACCCCCCGGCTCAGCGCCCCCAGGCTCCGCACCCTCCGCAGTAGCGCCCTCAGGCCCAGCACCCCCAGCAGTAGCACCCCCAGGCTCAGCACCCCCGCGCACAGCACCCCCAGAGTCAGCACCCCCAGGCTCAGCACCCGCAGCAGCACCAGAGTCACCAGTAACCTCGACCGGGTCAACGGCGTCTACCTGGGACACACCTGAGGGGGCAGGAACCTGAGGGGGGAGGGGGTCTACCGGGG